GCTAAAAGAATTACATTGAATTGACAAACAACAATCGTAAAAGTAGTAATAATAATAAATGGTGCTGACATATGTGTAATATTGAAAAATATGGGCTGAATTTAATGCACATTGAGCCTGGCTCCGCGTTGTATAAAAGAGTCTTTGTTTCAAGATAACGAAGTTTTGAGCTACTCACCTTCCACAATCTCGCCCTATGTAGCCTGTTTGACATGATGTACAAGTTGGATAACCGTCAATGTCAACACGACACGTGCTACTGAACCTTGAAGAAAATACAACAGGAATACAAAATTACAATTACAGGTCCATTTATATCCGAGAAAATTGTTTTTTCGTCTGTTTTGTTGTACAAATGATCTGCTGTTGGAAGTTGCTTTCTAAAGGGTTCAAAATAAAGATGAGAATATTTAAACGTATTTAACTACCAAAAACAGTCAATTCTTCGTTTTCAATTAAGTTACGTCATAGCGGCCATCTTGGAGGACATCAGCAAAAGATTTCTCATTAGTATCTATTGTTCATTCCTCCAACATGGCCGCCGGTCTTTTATCTTTTGAATCTCATGGGAATGGGTGGAAACGATGAATAGACATTTCACCATATTCTTGGAATTCAACTACATGAAAAAAAAATCTCTCGAGAAATAAAGAACAAAGCTATCGCCGCCATGTTGGATGACTGAACAAGCGAAACTAATGAGTAATGCTTTGTTATTGTCATCCATGGCGGCGATGACGTAACGTGCAACCCGAGAAAAGCCGACTTTAGATATTCAGTGACCATGCACAAACCAATTGCAGACGAGGCTCCGGGGAAATAAAAGAATAAATCAAGATTATCCATTGTTTTCCCGGAGTTTCGTGTGCGTTCTTTTGTACATAGTCATCGAACCAAAATATCTAAGTTGACTATTAGAGAGATTTTAAAAAAGACCGTTCGATAAGCGGATCGACCAGGGCGATATGCTGTTCTTTGGACCCATTCGCCACGCTAACACTGGAAAAAACCGCGCGCTTCAAAGGTTGTAAATTTGATGTAAATATGATGTAAGTGTCCAAAATTCTGTAAATTTGATGTAAATGATTTCCATTAAATTTACAGAATTTTGGACACTTACATCATATTTACATCAAATTTACAACCTTCAAAGCGCAAATTTGATGTAAATATGATGTAAGTGTCCAAAATTCTGTAAATTTGATGTAAATGATTTCCATTAAATTTACAGAATTTTGGACACTTACATCATATTTACATCAAATTTACAACCTTCAAAGCGCGCGATTTTTTCCAGTGTAACACAATCGTTTTCCAAAGGTTTTTAATAGGGAAGTACTGTAGTACAAATATGTTAAACAAATATGTGGTACTTACTGATTGGTTGGWATTGCTAACGGACATGAGCATAATTTGCAGTCTACTCGGGTTCCCTGTGTAGCATCTCCATAGTAACCCACAGCACATAATTCACAATGATCGCCAGCAGTGTTATGTTGGCAGTTCTACATGGAAAATATTATAAACCTCAGCAAATTGTCATGTTTCAATAGGAGACTGATAGCGACTGAGTTATAAAATCAACATTTGAACGTTGTTATATTCGATCAAGGAAGCCAAACCAAACAATAATCACACACACACACAAAAAAAAACAGCAAACGAACAAAAACAAAATCAGAGTAGAGTGTAGCAAAGCAGAGCAGAGCACTAAGCAGAGTAGAGCATTGAGCAGAGCCATGAGCTGAGCAGAGCAGAGCAGAGCACTGAGCATAGCATAGCAGAACACTGAATAGCATAGCAGAACACCGAGCATAGCATAGCAGGACACCGAGCATAGCATAGCAGAACATCGAGCATAGCATAGCAGAACACTGAGCATAGCATAGAAGAACACTAAGCAGAGCAGAGCACTGAGCAGAGCATAGCAGAACACTGAATAGCATAGCAGAACACCGATCATAGCATAGCAGAACACTAAGCAGAGCAGAGCACTGAGCAGAGCAGAGCAGAGCAGAAAAAACAAAATGAGACAACCTAAACGACACCAAACGAAATGAAAAAATGTATGAGTTATCTCAAGCGGCATCCCACTTGAAAACGATTTATATATGACAACTTACCAGACATTTCCCAGTGTCAGGGTCACATTCTAAACTATGTCGATTACACCTGCAACGAACACAACGAGAGAAGCCTGGGCCGGGTTTCAGACGAGTGTACCCTCGTGCGCATTTCTAGAATACAAAGAAAACAGGATAAAATTATTAACAACATTGGTGATGCATAAGGGCGTTATCATATGCGTAAGCAWAAGATCATTACTATAAGCATAAGTTCACAATGCTATTAAACTCTGCCTTACAAAATGACAATGGCCCTTTTCTTGATTACAAAACAAGTTGCGCAAGRAGCCTACAGTTTTGCACCAAAACGAGGAAGGATCGGGCAGCATTCCAAAAMTTAAGCAATAAACAACACATTTTTGTGCGTTCCTGGTGAAATAAACCACGCGGGATGTTGGGAGAACACGAATCTCGAGCMGAAGGCCTTTTGAGTGTTTTCCCAATATCCCAAGTGGTTTATTTCACCAGGAACACACGAAAATGTGTTGTTTATTTCTYTTATATTATAGCATTTTCGCATCCGTGCGTTTACCGGTGAAATTATTAACCAATCAGAGAGCGGGTACTATGATAGCTATAATATAATTGTCCTTCTTGACCAACTCTCTCTCTCTCTCTCTCTCGTGTTTCAAACAATAGAATGATAATGATAATGATGATGACGCTGATACTGATAATGATGATGATGATGATGATGATAATGATGATAGTAATCTTTATACTGCAAACCTGGCATGACAAACCAGTGTACGGCGAAGGGCATACACACTGCTCGACTGAATTGACTTCTTCTACAGAACTACCATGAGCAGATACAACGTCCATAGAAACCGCGTAGAGACTGAGGACGAAAATATATGTATAAATGCTCAACGGTTGTCTAACTTTAATAGTCAACTTTAGATATTTTGGTTCGATGACTATGTACAAAAGAACGCACACGAGGCTCCGGGGAAACAATGGATAATCTTGATTTATTCTTTTATTTCCCCGGAGCCTCGTCTGCAATTCTTTTGTGCATGGTCACTGAACCAAAATATCTAAAGTCGACTATTAAAAGGTGTCGTTACATTTCAAGATGTCGCAGGTGAACCGTGAAGGATATTATCATTGGTCTATCGTTAAAATTACATATCKTACCTTGTCTGATATGTGGCAGTACTATACGTTGCCCTTATAAGGATACTCTCAACTGAAGACAAAGCGATGATGAAGTCCTCACGTGATGCAATTTGTCCCTTTTCAAATGTAAACGACGACTGTGGATTGGATAGAGCAAAGTAAGGGGACACAAGATATTGTCACTTTTAAATAAAGTTTCCAAATAAACTCATGAGTCRCCTACGCAATGTAACTCCCGCGACCGTTCTTCTTATATAGAATAAAACATAGTCATTTTTTTTGAAATGATTATTTGAACTTCGGCGAATAAATACGCAAGGTACTGTGATCGTCACAATGAGATAATAATAATAATCTAAGTGATTATTAATAATTGCATCGACCGAAGAAACTTTGGGCTTCAATGTGAATCTAACTGCATTCACGCAAAATGACGAAAGATGAACAAAGGAAAAGGAAAAGGAAAAGGTGTTGGTTGCTAATCGTCCTTCATGGCAGCACGGGTGCTGAATTGCGAAAGACGCAGCTCGATGCACTATCAAATCGAAGTGCTATATTACAGAAACATTTTTACATACACTTACACATAGGCGTGCTGCCGGCTAGGCGCTTCCTTTACATAGCAACGAACGACTGAACGCGGAGCACAGCAGATAGAAATGGTTCGTTTTTACTGAGGGAGGAAAACCCGGAAAGACCCGGAAAAACCCTCGACGCAAGGGAGAGAACGAAAGAAACTCAAATCACATATGGCGCCCCGACCGAGACTCGAACAGGGTCCACAGAGGTGACAGGCCAGCGCTCTAAACATCAATCAGTGAACAAAATTAGTTTTACCTCGACAATCCTTAATTTGTAAGGAGTTTCAACCCCACTGACGGGMGGAGAACTCATCTTGTGAAATAGAACAAGACCATGTCCCTGGAAATAWTGAAAATAYAAATAAAAGTCATTACTATTCTTGGTAGTCCCTGCCCAGTACGTACGAAAATTATGTTATGAAATGATTTACATTTGTAAAGTTTATGACCGTTTATGGCCATTAAAATATCTTTAAAAAAATCATAACCAAAAGCTGTTCCTTGCGAGCCGAAGCGCCATTTTAGATGGACACAATATGGCGGATTCGTACACTAGGATTTCTAGTGATCGCGAATCGTCTTCCATCCTTTCAGTTTGGACAGAAATGCCTTTAACTAAGTACCTCACAGGTACTATCAATCTATAATCTATTGTATGCTTGTCGCATTTAAACGTATGTAAACAATAATACGTGCGCGCGCTGAATTGTGGTTAAAAACTCTTACCCTTATTTCAACGTCAGATTCTGAAGTTACTTGACCACCGAGTAACATGTCATGTGATAAGACGAACTTTAAGTATCCACCATAAGCACTTATCTGCATTAAACAAAAAACATTGGCACTGGAAAAACCACGCTGTAAATTTGTTGTAAAAATGATGTAAATGATGTAAGAAGTGTGTAAATATGATGTTGATACTATTTATTATATAGATGATTTCTAACGCGCGCTCTGATTGGMCAAAAAAGTGTGGTTTATGAGAGTATAAACCACGATTGTGCGCGAGCGATTTCTGACAACGACAACAAATGGATTTTTGCTTTTTGCTTTCAGCTCGTGCTTCTTGACATTTTCTCGTGTGTTTCAAATGCCAAGCGTGCGTTTATCAGAGTATAAACCACGTCTGAGACTTATTTATTTGTTAAGTAAGTGTCCAAAATCATGGAAATACCATATATCCAAATTTACACGAYATTTACATAATTTTGGAAATTTACAACCTTTGTAATTATTATAGATTGAATTTACATCAAATTGCCATTAAATTTACGACCATCAAGGAGCGCGATTATTTCCAGTGTGTTTATTTTCTTCACCTCATGTTTTATTGCTTTACGCCTTACCTGTACTTACCATGATTGTAAGATTAAATGACAGGGGGCTAACTAGAAAACTTATCAGTTAATKAAGCCCTCTGGCTCTATTTCTTTACAACAAATTTACATTTTATTCACTTATTTATCACTTTATTTTGTTAACTAGAAAGCAAATGAACAATAAAACAGTTTCAGTTTCAGTTTGCACTTGGATGTCACACATGCGCGGGAAAAAATGGTGGCTTTTCGCTTATGAGTTAATATCGCAAAGCATCTTGGATACACAAGGGTCTTTAAGATATTAACAGTGCTACAAAGAGAAAAAATGCAACTTAAAAAAAAAAAAAAAAAAATATTGACACTTACTTTATCGCCTAGAAATTGCTCAGGTAGATACCAGTAGAAAGTTTTCCTGGGTAACCGGTCAAACCGGTTATACACATAATGAGGAGGTTCATTAACCAATAAGATACCAGTATTTATAACGGTAAGTCCCAGTCTATCGCCCAACCGAACTGCCCCTCGGACCCCACTGTAATCTTCTGTGTAAGCCAATGAAACCTGAGAAAATGTTGTCAATTTTCAAAATAGCAATGAAACGAGAAGGTAGTACTCTCTTTCTATTTAAACTATAAAAAAAATATTAATTTGAATCCTTTTTTTATTTAACTATGTTTAGACAAAAAACGGTGTATTATTTGTACAGGCAGCTATCGTCTCTACACAATCGCAACAGAAAATAAAGAGCGCTGGTGTTTCGTATGTGCTGAAATGATAAATACATTATTTTATCATGAACTTGATATTTTGTTATTGCAGAATAAATATTAAGAACTAGTAGGGCAGAATAGAGAATTAGAAGAGACATTGGCAGTCTGGACGCTAAATAGAGCAAATGGTCAAGTTTACAGTGAATGATTCTGATATGCACAAGGACACAGCCCACAAGGTTGTTCCACACATGAAACTGCATGTAACAACATTAGTAAAAACAGTCTAGGCCTCTAATATAAACATGACATATTGAAAGTAGAAGGTCAGAAGAAATCCATGAAAATTTCACAAATAACAAATCTTTCAAATTCTGTTATCTAAAAGTATCATGCTCCGGCAAATTAAACTAACATTTTCCTCCCAGGTAATACGACCACCTTGTGATAACGACCAGAGTTTACCTACCCCCACCCCCATGGGAAATATCCTGGTATAGAAAGTTACCTTGTCGCGGTATCCTCGGGCGCATTTACACTGTGACGTCACACCGAAACARAARCATGGCATACAGCCATCGGGGTTGCTTGATTCGAGACTAAAGTAAAATGCTTTACATTTGTTGCACCTTTTACCTTCAACATTTGCCTAGGGACGAAAAAAAGATACAATTATCAAACGGCATAATKTTTTTGCTTATAAATTAGACTATAACACCGTAAAAAGGTAGCTTAAGCAACAACTTAAACGGTGTTGATGATAGCGAAATGTAATTGCAATCATATTTAGAAAAAAATTATGCTCAATTCATTCAATAGCCGACTTGCAAATTTTGCCTCGGTAATCACACACAGGCGCCGTACATAAAGCTCAGCCAGTCGTAAAAACACAATAGTTTTTCACAATTGACTGAGCTTTACGCACGGAGCCTCGTCTTGATTCTTTGTGTTTGACTACTGAGGCGAAATTAGCAAATCGGCTATTAGACTAGCCTGCGTCACATCCGGACAAACTTTCGGACAAACTTAACCGAAAGTTTGTCCGGATGTGACGCAGGCTACTATTAGACCAGCATKCAAGTCTTTGACTGAATTATTCTTCATTAGCTTAGCTTTTTTTAGTCAATTTTGAAAAACCTACCTAAAATTGTTTTATATATCATATTTTCATGCACTTTTTTAATGTTTATTACTTTAAAGTTATTGCAAACAGTTTTATTATAAATGAACGAGCTTAATCTGACCTAATCTATTTGAATATTCGTAGCATTTATTGTTAATATTGTTAAATGTTTAGGATTTACTCAATAAAGATTTGGTCATCTTATTAAAAAAAATGCTCGCAAGGGATGTCGGTCGATCGTGGCACTTTATTTTAACAAGAATGGAATGTCATGATGAGACGAATAAGTCTTAAAAACCGCAGATCAAGTAACTACACGACAAATCTATCCTTGTGCGTATCTCAATTAACTATCCATTAATCTCAAATTTCACAAAAAAAATTCACTATTAGTGCGTTCTGTGTTCTGCAGCCTCTTTTGTCATCACTCCCACTACGAAAATAAGTTTTAAATTTCCCATTTCCTTGTTAATTGACAGGAAAAACTAAATCTTTATTAAATGATTAAGCTGAGTTGGCCTCAACATCTCGACAGAACTACTATTGTTTTACACRAATCCCATTAATCGACAGGAAGTGAAAATCTCATAATTAGATATCGTCACACAAAGCAGTATGTAAAAAAGTTTAGGTTTCCTGTACTAAACGATTTAAATAAAGATGATTTTCTAAACGCTTTGGAAGGTCTTCAAATATATATAAAAATTGTGCAATTTGATTGGCTTAGAGGAGTGGTATTTATCCTTAATAGTGGTATTTCACTAATAGCGCAATTTCATTCAACCATTTCATAAACACTTAAAAAACTCATACATAATTAATGAGCTACTAGGCCAATAGAATGAGTCTATTTGGTCACATGCATGGACCTTTATATCTGATAAAACACTCCTTATTAGTATTCTTTATATAAAGAATACTAATAAGGGTGACCTTTATCAGATATAAAGGTCCATGACCCTAGCAAAGGTCTCAGGTTTGAAACCTGATCATTGACCAATGCAGGATGTCAACCGATTTCATTGAACAGCCAAGAGCGGTTCTATTTTACTTTATGCGTATTCAATGTGGGATGACAAGAGTGCTTTGTAAAGTGATTCGCGCATGATCAGTTTGCCCCATTTATCTCGGAACATATTTGTACGGCAATTTCTCCAAGAATTTTAACGGATTTGAGTTTCAAATTAGTTGGAGTTTTTTAAGCCGTTTAAAACACTCGAGATCGTGTTTTATCAGGTATAAACTTCGGCTCGAATCTTTATACCTGATAAAACACTCTCTCTCGTGTTTTAAACTATACATAATAGCATGTTTTGTACGTGGAGTTTGGGATAAACTCCATTTGTGATATTTCAAAATTGACACAAATTTTGTTTGGCAATTTAGAAATATCACGCGTGGTACTTATCCCAAAAACCAAAGTGTCTGGAAAAACGCTTTCGTGATTGACAAAAGATTTTATCTGCGTACATATGRGTGGTTTTCTGGCCATGGGAGATYAAAGGAACAGCTAGAGGAAGACTGATATAAAAAAAATTGAAAACTGTCATTGAATTGTCATAAGTTCAGAGAAAATGCCATTGTTTGTGTTGACGATAAAAACAATAAACTCCAGAATTAAGATGTTCTTATTGTTGCAAAATTTCCTATAAATCGCACACATCAAACTCTACTCAACAAAACACTCCATCTCTCGCTGGTCTATTGGTCTTTGAATTCAGACCCAAAGAACTGGTCACTTTGCAGTAATCTTGTGAATTTTCAGTGTTTTATTCCTGGTTAAAATGACAATTAACCACTCTTCAAACGCAACCCAAAGGTACGTTTTTCTCCCAGTAAACTTGCAAGTGCGAATTGCATTTTGGTCAGTCATTGGAATATGTGGTGTGTACGGTCTCGTGTCAAACAGTATACTTTTGTACTTGACAAGTCAACAAGAGAGGAAAAGAAAATGGAATGGCAAAAGCAAACCCTTCGATCGCTTTCTTAT